CTAGCGAAGACGTTCACAGCTTAGCTTGAAGCTATTATAAGACGAGGAGCTTCAAGGGTATTGTAGGTCCCTAACATGCGTATCGTATTTCCTTGTACAACATTTAAATCTCCCACAGCGATACCATACACTGACGTGGCAGACTGCCGTCGATAAATCGTCACAAAAGCTCGCCACAGAAAAGTGCAGGTGCTGTCTTTAAGGACATCGGTTACCAGTGTAGAAGTGGAGTACTGTGCTGCTCACTCGGGACAATTGCAATGTTGAGCAGATTATATGTGGGTGCTTACACCTTGAAACCATCGGAGCAACGGGTTGGCAGGCGCTAATGCTTCAGTGACTATGATATATATTGATAATGCAATTATTGCTTGGGAACAAGTTAGTCTCTAACTTTTTCCGACCTTTCAAAGGAAGTGCCAATTGCTGTAATCATTTTGTTGTAGGTCCAAACTGGCCAACAAATATGCCGTAGGTTTGAAATTTTGAGCGTTCGATTAAAGTTTGATGTCATAATGCTCAAACTCGATGCAGCGACCGGGAATAACATTATTAGTTTTAGTGTTCACCGTACACACAGTGCCGTCGTTCTTAATGGCAGTCAACTTGTCTGATCGTAACTTCAAGTACTGAGGGCACAGGACTGCGTATTCTGCTGACCGAATAGTCTGCTAGCTTTCGCGGAAGACTGGGTCTGATGGGCGACTCCGTCTAACTACGGCAATCGCGCATACGGCAGGAAAAGTAACGCAGAGGCAGGTTGCGACGAAAATACAGATTGAGCGCTGTCCCCTTTCTTCTGCCGCAGACCAGCAAAACTTCGTTAGGTGGACCGAACAGTCAAAGCTCGACTCGCGTCGGAGTAGGAACAATAGTTGCCAGCAGAAGAAGGTACAGTTATAAAAAGATTTATTCTGTTAAAACAACGCTGTTTATTCAGCCTGTGCAAAAGGATTCGCGATTGCCTCCATTCCATCGGCGGGACATACTAACTCTACCGACGGTCCTCTGAAGTGGAATAAAAAGAATAGCACACATGAAAAAGGACATGCCAACGAAAACTTAGTTTGATATACGAAGATTTTGTTTTACACAAAAACTGCTTGCATTTGATGCATACCAGTCAAATGCCAGGCATAATAGGCGCACTCAGAATTCCACTTGGGTTCTTCATATCATTTATCATTATCGGAGTTTTGATTAGATCAGTTTACTTTTAACTGTCCTTGTTTGCCAAAAGCAGACACACAGGAGACTTCTGTAAGCATTACGGATCGGTTAATGGTCTAGTTGCTGTAAAGGAAGTTATAGAAAGCTAAAGTAGGACAGAGAAACGAAACTAGAAATAGAGAAATGAAAAAAAATTGTCGAGTTTCAGTGATCTTAACAACAAAAGAACATATATTTGTGAAAATGGCCGACCCTCAGGTTAGTTACAGTGGACATCTTGGCTGTCTATAAACGTTTCTTTGGCATACTTTAAGGTATTTTTAGGGAGGCAACTATGCTTAAAAAGGCAAAGAATCAGGATCCACACCAAACGGAAGACAAAGGGGTTGTCTGAGATTTCGGCTGCTGAAAGCGCGTATCGTGGCACTAAGCAAGACAAGATCCATTCGACTACGAAGTTTGAACAGGGTTCGACCTTCTACTTTGCACCCTCTATAATAGGAAATTGTCTTGCCATCCGTAATTACATCAGAAAACTTCTGGACACAATCAATACTAAGGTAGGTCATTTTAAACGTATGTTGCAATAGATATCATGTCGAATTTGGCACCCATTGCTTAAGTCAAAAGCCACGGATTCCAAGGGCTGCCAAGGATGCCTTGCCTCACTGGCTCTAACCAGAAAGTTTGATCGAGAAGTATGACACACCCAACTGTACTGAGATAGCAACGTAGTCGAACACTGATCTTCTAAGGCCAGCACTATATACACGCTGAGAGCGATAGGAATTGGTGGAATATGCTAGTTGAATAACTCACCGACACACTACAAGACCAAGTTCTCGAGTGTCTTCCGACAGTCTTGAAGGATCATCTGGTTCACGAAGGTATTCTGTAGTGTTGTCCAAAACCATGTTTTGTAAGTTATCGCAGCCCTTAAGGATACCAGTGGCCTCGCGACCGCCGGTGAATTTCACACGGATTCGTTTGTCCAGATATTTTGACAAGTCAATGATGGACTCTTTACGCTTCTTCTCTTGTCTGGGTTCGGCGGAGGCCATTTAATCTGTAAAACGGATGGTAAACTTATTTAAGAACGATGTTAAAACGTCTATTGTGGTAAAGAAGTCTGACCATGCCATTTAGAGGGGAGTGTGGGAAACGTTCTCTTATACCGGTAGTAGGTAATTAGCGCGGAGGTGCGCCTAATAGGACAAACTTTGTCGGCCACAGAATAGAACACAGAATCACTTACGAGTAAAAAGATGAGCGAATGGAAATTTGCTAAGGACTCAACTAGAAAAGGACAGAGATGCATGCCTAAAGTGATTTAGAGAGCGTCAGTAAAATGCGGGTTACATCTGGCATTCCAGTCCGCGTAAAATAATATGCAATCAGACAAAAATCGATTTTTAGACAGATACAACGAGAATCAGTTGGCCAACAAACATTTAGGCGTTCTGCAAACGAATGGATGCGGAGGAGTCAATATTTAAAAAAAACGAATGGGGTAATAGAAACTCGAGAATAGAAGAACACCAAGAAAAGCACATATATCTATTGTGGCATAGATGCGTACACCGATCTGTCAGAGGACCCACTCGTCCCTCCAT